GCATGACTCAACCATGGGCAATTAATAACTCTCTAATTAGTTAAGTTTTTCTTTATTTCTCTAAAGAGTCTTTTTGTAGCTATAGTCATATAATTCCTGTGTGTCTTTTGGTAGGATGACTGATATTTTATGCATTCTGTAGTTTTTTGGAATGGGATTTATTTCTCTATCTCTTCCTATTGGGTTTTGTAGGTAGTATACAAAAAAGCTGATGATTTAAGTAAGTTTATTTTATATTCTGCTTACTTTATTGAAGTTATTATTTCAATACAATTTTAGTTGAATTTATAGGGTTATCTAAGTAAACCATCTTATCATTTGCAAAAGTGGTCATTTTTTTCCTTATTGCCTATGTGTTTTCTTGTCTTATTGCTATAGTTAGTATTTTTAGAAATGTATCAAATAATAGTAGCAATAGTGGAATTCTTCTATTACTTCTAGTATTTCTGAAAAAAACTCTAGTGTTTCTCCATTATAGATAATACTTAATCTTGGTTTTAGATAGATGCATTTATCATAAAAAGTAAGGACCATTTAATGATATGTGTTTTAATTTTTAAAAACATAATGGATGCTGTATTTTGTCAAAAGCGTTTTCTAGGGGCAGCTAGTGGATAGAGGGCGCAATGGATAGAGCACCGGCCCAGGAGTCAGGAGGACCTGAGTTCAAATCCAGCCTCAGACCAGATACTTGACACTTACTAACTGTGTGACCCTGGGCAAGTCACTTAATCCCAATTGCCTTGCCCCAAAAAAAAAAAGCATTTTCTGCATCTGTTGATATAATCATGTAATTTTATTGTGTTAGTTATTAAAATGGTCTGTTTTGCTAATAGGTTTCCTAATATTGGACCAACCCTGCATTACTGGTATAAATCCAACTTGTCATAGAATACAAATAAATATATATAATAAGAATATATAAATATAGATAATAAGAATATAAATATATAATTAAATATATCACTATACCATCTTTGTTAACATTTTATTCAACATTATTGAATCATAATATTCATTGGAGATATTAACCTATAGTTTTTCCCTCTGTGTTTTATTTCCCCCTGGTATAGGTATTAGGATCATAATTGTCTCATACTGTATGAGTTTAGTAGGAGGCCTTCTTTCCCTCTTTTTGTTAAGAATAATAAACTTTCTCTTAAGGACTGCTTTGGTGGCATCCCCAAAATTCGATCTGTTCTCATTGTGCTATTTCCTTGATGAAATTATTTATTGTTTTTATGATTTGTTCTTTGATCCACATATTCTTTAGTATAATAGTATTTATTCTTCATTGGATGTGTTCTTCACATTCCCTTATTTGATTATGCTTTTTATTTTGTTGTGTCAGCAAATGATGTGTTTAATATTTCTGCTTTGCCACATTTGTTGTGAGATTTTTATGCATGATAGTTGTGAAACAGCTGCCTCAGAAAGCTACTCCAACTCATTTATAGACCCACTTCTCACCAGTACTTTTTAAGGTTCAGTGGGTTTAGGTATGGTTTCACTTTTGGGAAGCTATCAAAATATGTATCAATAAAATTTTCTTTTGCTTTAAATCCCAACTTTGTGCCAAGAAATGCCTCTCAGCCATATTAAAATCTATCAGTATCTTTCCCTCTATACCTCATTGACCATAACTTCTGTCTTGGCTATATTTAATCTTCCAGGGACACATACAAATCAGAAGAGCAGAGGAACAGTCATTTATTAAGTGCCTACTATGGGTCAGGCACTGTATTAAGCACTATACAAATATTGTCTCATTTGAACCTTGCAAAAACCCTGAGAAAGAGTTGCTATTATTATTCCTGTTTTACAGTTGAGGAAACTGAGACACATAGCATTTAAGTGACTTGTCCAGGGTCACACAGTTACCAAGTATCAGAGGCTGAATTTGAATTCAGGTCTTCCTGACTCCAGGTCCAGAACTTTATCCATTGCACCATCTATCAGCCTCTAGTATTTCAATGAATGTTGTCTTTAGAGAAACCAGTTTCTTTTTAAACAAATGGTAAAATTGTCCACAAACTCTTAAAAGGCAAAGATTGGAAAAATAGATTCATCTTTCCCTGGAGAGAGCAGGGATGGGAAAAGGGGAAGGTAGAGAAGGAAGACAAAGGATGAGACTCAGGATCACCATTTCTGGTTTCCTCTCCTAGCCACATATTCTGTTAGGGCATCTCTGTATTTTGTCCTTGCTCTGTAGGCCAGTGTGTCTCTCATGCTGCCCATGCGTGGGGTTAGGAACAGTGGTATCTGCCCTGTCAGCCTGTACTGGTAGGTGTTCTAGCTCAAGAACCACTATGACAGCAATAGCATCACTGCTTTTTCTGACTATAATTGCTTTCTTCTCTCTAGCAGATACTAGTGTCCTATGTCCACATACATTAATGGGAGTATCCTTGCTAGAAAGGAACCTTTAAGATTACATTTTGCTTTATCAAGTCAAATACTTAAAAATAAAAAAAAAACAACAGAAAACAACTACAGTGGTGTTTGTATTCTCTTTATCTTTTTATCGCTAAAGAGGTGATCGATTATAAAAAATAATTTGTGAAAGCCTATCGATAACCACCTCATATTTTCAAGGATACCTTTGATGCATGTGTAAATACTTTATAAAATTTTAATAAAGATGAGAAAGTAAGCATTTCTTCCATAAATTATTGCTCTCTTGATCATCCTTTTTTGGTAATTTCTTTTATTGGATATAACATCACTATTCTGGAGAGCAATTTGCAGCTATGCCAATGGGCTATAAAATTGTGCATATTCTTTGACCCAGCAATACCACTGCTAGGTCTATATCCCAAGGAAAGTTTTTTTTAAAGGGAAAGGATGTATTTGAACAAAAATATTTATAACAACAATTTTTGTGGAGACAAAGAATTGGAAATTGAGGAGATGCCCATCAGTTGGAGAATGGCTGAACAAGTTGTGCTATATGATTGTAATGGAATACTATTGTGCTATAAGAAATGACAAGCAGGATAATTTCAGAAAAACCTGGATTTACATGAACTGATACAGTGAAGTGAGCAGAACTAGGAGAACATTGTACACAGTAACAACAATATTATATAATGATCAACTGTGAATGACCTAGCTATTCTCAGGAATACAGTGATCCAAGACAGTTCCAAAAGACTTGTGATGAAAAATGCTATCCTCCTCCATAGAAAGAACTGATGGAGTCTAATTTTTTTCTTGAGTTTTTTTGGTCTGTGTTTTCTTCCACAACATGACTAATATGGAAATATGTTTTGCATGGTTGCACATGTATAACCTGTATCAAATTGCTTACCTCTAAGGGAAGGGTGAGGGGCGGGAGAGAATTTGGAACTCAAAATTTTAAAAAGTGAATGTTAGAAATTGTTTCTATACATAATTGGGAAAAATAAAACATTATTAAATTTTTTTTAAATAATAACATAGGATCAGAGATCTGTAGCTAAAAGAGACCTTAGAGGTGATCTAGTTCAATTCTCTCACTTACAGATAAGGAAACTGAGGTTCAGACATGTAACATAAGTTGCCCAAATTACACAAGTACTAAGTGGCAGAGCCTGAATTTAAAGCCAGAGTTTCTGACTCTCAAGTCCAACTTCAAATTCAGTGTTCTCTCTACTATGCTGCCAGCATCTTCCTATACTTAAGAATTTTTAGTTATTAATATGGGAGTCACATCAAAATCAACTATTTGCAAAGCAAGACAAAATCAGTATCAGGTTAGAAGGATAAAGATGAGAAGCAGGCAACATAAATAATTGCAAAAAGCTTTAACCTGCCCTATTTAAATAATCTATCAATGCCAAAAATTAAGAAATGAAAACAAACAAACAAACAAAACTTGGCTTCATCCTTATTTCCTGAAAAATTTTAACCAATGTAAAGTAATAGTCAGAGTGAGGAGGTCAAACAAATCCAGAAACCACCTATCTTAGGCAGCAAACATTTCATCTTTTTGCTAGAAAGAAATAGCTGTCAAGGGCAACATTGGCTTAGAATACAAGTTATTTGTAAAACGTAATGAAGGAGGATGGTAAAATATTATGAATGGTATACCACTAATAGGCCTATATGCAAAGAGATCAAAGAAAGAAGAAAGGTCCTTTATGTATGAAAACATTTTGAGCAACAGTTTTTGTAGAGGGAAAGAAGTGGAAACTAAGGAAGTGCCTATCATTTGGGGAAAATCTGAACAAATTATGGTTTATGAATGTGATAGAATACTATTGTTCTGTAAGAAATGATGAAAGAGATGGTTTTGAAGAAACCTTGGGAAGACTTGTATGAACTAATACAAAGTGAAGTGGAAACAGAACAGTCTATGCTATAGCAATAACCTTGTAAAAACACACTATGTTAAAAGACTTAAAAATTCTGATCAACTTTGGTTCTAGAAGACTAATGATAAAGAATTTTATCTACCTCCTGACAGAGAGGTGATGGACTCACTGGTGCAGAATAAGACATACATTTTTGGATATGTCTAGTATGAGAATTTGTTTGGCTTGACTATGCATGTTTGTTACAAGGATTTTGTTTTTCTCTTTTTTCTCTTGGGGAAAGAAGTGGGAGAGAGAGCAAATAAATGCTCAATAATTTTAAAAAAATCAACAAACAAAATAAATGTTCATTGAATTTAATTGAATTATCCTAACATGTTGTTTAGGAGTCCTTGATTTTTTTTATAAAAATGACTTTTGGGGAAAAAAAAAAGGATTGAGCATTTTTGCTCAGTAAAAAGCTTCATAGACTGAATTAAAAAAAATACCAATTCTGTTTAAGGAATGTTTTTACTTAGATCTAGCTCTGTAAATCTTGAACATTCATTTAAGCTCTGCTGCTGACTAGTACTTACAAAACTAAAGTAGACTCTCATGCATATTTTATCTAACAAAAGCAATCAATTAGCCTCTCTTCCTCTGTACTTTATAGACATGTAATCAATTGCAATAGGTACGTAATATGAAACTCTCTTCTCTCTTCAGCGGAAAAAAACAAAATTTATTGCCTGTGATTTTCTAACCGAGTGGTTATACAAGTAAGTTCTTTATCTTTTTGAATATTCAGCATCCCTAATAATATTTCAGCAATGTTAATTTGTAATGTGGATTGTAACAATTAAGATGAATACTTATTTGTTTTTTTCATTCCAACCAAATATTATGGCATAATGATCAGCCAGAATCCAAAGAGGATAGATGAGCCATTCACAGAATTCTTCTCAATTCCATTTGTGGCAGATTGGCTAAAGATTCAGTAAGTACTGTCAGATATCTTTTTGAGTAACTTATACCTAATTGTAAAGTGGTGTTAAAACTAACTCTCTAATTTAGGTAAACTCGCTGCTAAAATTCAGGTAGGTTTTCAAATCAATTGTGTTTATTTCTGTGCCTCTCTGAGTTTATTTTAGCAAAGTGTAAGCATATTTCTACTTGTCAGTAAGCATTTATTAAGTGTCTACTGTGTATCAGGCACTGCCTGATACACAGGGGATACAAAGAAAGGCAAAAGATGGTTCTTGCCGTTGAGGAGCTCACAATCCACTGGGGGATACAATAAGCAAACAAATATGTACAAACAAGATAAATAGGAATAATTAATAGAGGGAAGGCACTAGAATTAAGAGGGATTTAGAAAGGCCTCCTGTAGAATGTGAAATTTTATCTGGGACTTGAAGGAAGCCAAGGAAGCCAGGAGATAGCGATAAGGAAGGAGAATAATCCAAACATGAGGGACATCCCCAGAAAGTGCTGGGAGCAGAGAGATGGAATGTTTTTTCATGGAATGGCAAGGAGACCATTATCATTGGATTGAAGAGTACATGGAGGAAGTGTAAGGTATGAGAAGACTGGAAAGGTGGGGGATGGCCTAGGTTATGAAGGCCTTTGAATGCCAAACAGAGGTTTTTGTATACAATCCTGGAGGTGCTATACTCATTTATTATATCAGAAAGATTTTTTAAAATGAAATACGAAGCTATTTTTGAGCCTTATTTTAACTGATGCATCTTCTCAATACATTTACATGCAGTTTTGTATTTGTAAATTTTAGGTAGCATAAAAGATAAGTCATTGACAAATCTAGAGAAGTAATAAATCCTAAGTATATTGCTTTGATGTATTTTTCACATATGGTCTTTTTCTGCCCTCCTTATTTTATGAATCTTACATTATTTTGTAAACAGATGCAAAGTGATTTATCGAGGACACATTCTGAATGGGCTACAGGACCAGAATTATACCTTAATTCTTCTGGCTCCCAGTTCAGTATTCAGACAGTTTGTCAGTCAATAAGCATTTATTAACCACCTACTTTGTTGCAGGCATTGTAGAAACAAAAAGAGGCAAAAGACAGTCCCTTCGCTCAAAGAGCTCACAGTCCAATGGGGGACATAATAAGCAAACAAACGTGTATAAACAAGCTATATATAGGAAATATATATAGGAAATAATTAAGAGAAGGAGAGCCCTAGGAGTTGGGAAAGGCTTCCCATAGGAGATGAGATTGTAGTTGGGACTTAAAGGAAGCCAAGGAGATTAGTAGTCAGAGAGGAGGAGGGAGAACATTACAGACCCGGGGGACAGCCAGAGAAAATGTCCGAAGCCAAGAGATGAAGTGTCTTATTCATGGAATAGAAAGGTGGGCAGTGTCACTGGACTGAAGAGTATGTGTCTGGTAGTAAGGTGTACTATAAGAGGACTGGAAAGATAGGAGGGGTCTAGGATATGAAGGTCTTTGAATGCCAAAGAGGATTTTGTATTTGACCTTGGAGGTGATATGGAACCACTGGAGTTTATTGAGTAGGGGGATGACATGGTCAGATTCATTCTTTAGGAAAATCACTTTGGTGGCTGTACAAGGATGGATTGGAGTGGGGAGAAACTTGAGGCAGGCAGGCCCACCAACAAATCATGAGAGAAGAGGGCATATTCAAGAGATGTTGCAGATGTGAAATTGATTGTCCTTGGCAGAAACTGGGATATGGGGGGGTAAGGGCATGAGAGATAGTAGTTCAGCATGATTCATAGGTTGTGAGCCTGGGGGACTGGGAGCATGGTGTTGCCCTCTTATAGTAACAGGGGAGGTAGGAGGTAGGAAGGGTATAGGGGAGGAAAGATAAATGAGTTTGATTTTGGACATGTTGGATATCTAGTTTGATAAGTCTGAAAGGCAGTTGGAGATGTGAAGTGGGCAGAGAGGTCAGGTTAAGGCAAAATATTTGAGATTTGAGAATCATCAACATTGAGATGGTAATTAAATCCATGGGAGCTGATGAGATCATCAAGTGAAGTAGTATAATGAGAGAAAAGAAGAGGTCCCAGGGCAGAACCCTGAGGCACACCTATGGTTAGAGGGTGTGATTTGGAGGAGGATCAAATAAAGGAAACTGAGAAGGTGCAGTCGGATAAGTAGGAGGAAAACCAGAAGAAAGTGGTTTTCTTTGCATGTCACCATACCAAATGGAGTATGTTAAAAATCCTTATTTCCCATTTTGATTCTACAGGGCTTAAAACTTCAATTCAACTAGTATTTGTTAAATGCCTACTATGTGTGAACTGTGCTAAGAATTGGGGATATAAGGACAAAAATAGCCCCTCAAGGAGCTTACAGTCTACTAATAGAAAAAATGTTAATAGAAAATTAAATACAAAATATATACAAAATCAGTTCTAAGGGGAGGGCAATAGCTACTAGGGGAATTAGGAAGAATCTCATGTAGGAAATGGCCCTTGAGCTGAGGTGTAGATAGGGGGAGCACTTATGTCAGGCACGAGGGACAGCCTGTACAGATACTTAGAGGTAGATCAAAAGTCATTTACAGGGAACAGCAGGTAGGCCAGGTTGTCTAGAATGTAGAGAAGGTGAAGGAGAGTAATGTTCAATAAGCCTGGAGCTAGATTCCAAAGGGCTTTCTTTAAAAGCCAAACAGGAGTTAACATTTTGTCCTAGAGGCAAGAAGAAATACCACTGGAGTTTAAGTAGGATCATGCCGTGGACAGACCTATGCTTTAGTAATACTGCTTTGATTACAAAAGAGGGAAATGACAGTTGTTAGAGGTGATAGAGGAGTGCAGGCACACCCATTCCCAGTTGGTGGAGTTGTGAAATGGTCTAGCCTTTCTGGAAAATAATTTGGAATTATACTCAGAAAGTCACCAAATTGTGTATATCTTTTGACCCAGTGATAGCACTCCTAGGCATATGATACAAAGAGAAAGGACTCATGTAAAAATTGTTGTTTATGGCAATATTTTTTATTGTAGCAAAGAACTAGAAAAATAATTAGGTGCCTATCAATTGGGGAATGGCTGAATAAATTATGGTGCATAAATGTAATGGAATATTATTGTGCCATAAGAAATAAGGAGGGGTGGATTCAGAAAAACATGGGAAGACTTGTATGAAATGGTACAGAGCAAAGTGACCAGACCTAGGAGAACAATTTATATATTGACTACTGCACTGGAAGGAAAAATAAATTTTTTTTTTTTTTTTTTTGGTGAGGCAATTGGGGTTAAGTGACTTGCCCAGGGTCACACAGCTAGTTAAGTGTTATGTGTCTGAGGCCGCATTTGAACTCAGGTCCGTCTGACTCCAAGGCTGGAGTTTTATCCACTGTGCCACCTTGCTGCCCCCAGGAAAAGTAATTTTGAAAGACTTAAGAATTATAATCAATGCAATGAGCCCCCACAACTCCAGAGGACCAACAACAAAAAGACCACCTCCTGGTAGAGTTCATGGACGTGAGATTTAAAACAAGATATATATTTTTAGATGTGACCTACATGTGGATTTTCTTTACTTAACTGGACTTATTGGACACAAGAAAGGACTTTTATTTTCTTTTTAATGTCAAGGGAAAATTTTAGGAGGACAAGGAGAAGAGTGATAGTAATGTAGCATTTATAAAACAGAAGAGAACAGAAGGCAGTTTGGAGGGGGATACAAGCAAGCAGGAAAGATTTAAATCTAACTTTTTTCTTTTTTAAAAAAGATGCAAGCTGTTTATAATAGAGATTCACAGTTTCTTATGCAATCTTTCTATTGTTCTTTGTATGAGGAAATGCACGTGTTAATTAGTGTCTGTTAAGTACAGAATATCAAAACATTTTAAAAATTACTTAAAAAAGAATATCACTTTGCCAGCTATTTGGGGAATGATTTGGAGAGAGGAGAGATAGGAGACAGGGAGGATGTTGTTAATAGTACAAGGGAGAAATGATTGGGTCTGTACTAGGGGGGCAGGTATGTTAGTACAGAAAAGGGAATGGATATGAGATTATGCAGTAGAATTAACAAGACTTGGCAACTGACTGGATGTGAAGGCTAGGGAAGAGGAGAGTAAAGGATGGGTCCGAGATTGCATAATTAGCTAAATGAAAAGATTGTGATGTCCTCGACAGAAAGAGGCAAGTTAGGAGAAGGAGTAAGTTTTCTGTTTTGGATGTCTTGAGTTTGAGATGCCTCTTGGAGATATTGTTGGAGATTATAATTTATCATGTTAAAAAAGGCATTAAGGAAAAGAAATAGTGTTTTTCCCCTTTGGAAGAGAACATATTGGTAGTATTCCTCAAATGGTTACTTTATCTTTGGAGGAGGGATTGTTTAGTAAGAAAGGTTGAGAGTTCTTTTGGGAACCACTGGGCTGTTGAGCAAACCACTCTGAGCCTCATTTCCTTTAGCTATAAAATGAAGAAATGCAATTTTCCTTAGTTGCTTACTTATTTCTCTTTAAGTGGCATATTCTTTTCTCTACATTTTATGTCTTGTACATAGTCATGAACTGAATGGTATATCTTCTATATACTATGCTCCTAATAGCACAACCCAGTTCCAGGTTCATTTTGTACTTTAGATGGGACCGACTAGTTAGAAATTTAGAAACCATTGCCTGTAATTTTTAGGCTGAGTAAAATTTAGTTTTCCTTATGGGTCAAAAACAATAGACTTGAGATTTGTTCAGATTCACTTGCAGAAAAACAGGCACAAAGTTCAAAGGTCTACTGCTGGCTTTCTAATCTCATATCCCTAGGGATAAAATTCATGAAAGACATTGTTAAAAGTAAGAACTCCAGTGAAACAAAAACTGTATTTTAGAAGAAAGAAGAAAAGATTACTTATGGTGAAATGGCTTTCCAACCAAGTCCTCTGCTGTAAGACAAAAACCTGTAAGGCAGGACTTTTGCATCACTGAGAGGCATTTTTTTTTTAAACCAAAATACAGAGGCAAAAATTAAAACAACACTTTGTACATT